TCCATAGCTACTACCCTTCTATTCAAATATTATTCAAGAAATATTTACATATTCAAGAATATGTAAACAAATGTAATCTTCAAAAACTAATAAAATCTGCAGTGACCGTCCTTTATTATCATTCTCATTAATTCACTGTATGCTCATGGATTGATATCGTGAATGTCTGTTGTATTAAGCAGTGCATTACTGTCTTTATTCCTTTAAACATCTGCCTTTTCTTGGGCCTGTATAATATACGACTTGATTGTGTATTATTTCAGGCATATCGCTATACATTAAATCGTGGCCGGCAGCGATAAGCAATACAAATATCAGAAATTTGCATTCGTTTCCCGACAATTATATTTAAAATCACCTGCATAAACGAACAGCGTTGTAAAAAAAAAAAACCCACGTGGAGATCTTTTGGGAGATAAAGTGACAACGCTTAAATCGAGATACACCAATTAAAGATAAAATTCTCTTTCCCTTTATCTCTCTCTTTCTCTCTGTCTCTCTCTGTCTCTCTCTGTCTCTCCCATTCTATCTCTCCACCTCTCTCTCTCTCGTTTTTTTTTTTCTCTCTCTCTCTCTCTATATATATCAAGTTGGATAAAATACTAGATTATTTAATTTGATTTCGCTTAATCTCGTTTTCTTCGCTATTATCTTATTCAATATTATCAACCAGGACTTCAAAGAAAGTCTATTCAAAGACTTATTTTCTGCAAACAGCTTTGAGAAGAAATTTTTTTTTTGTAAGAACGGTCCTTTAATCTAAGGTGACCAAAACCTCTCCTAGGCATGTATAAATCCTTTTCTACTAAATAGTTCCAAATAATATTCACGTTTTATCAAATATACTCATATGCCATATTTGATACTAAAGGTGTTCTGGTATCCTATATCTGCGATATGGGGCGATATCCCAAAATAGAAACTATTACTTTAGAAACGGGTGAAGAAATAACTCCGCATCCGTAATTGAATCTCACTTGTAAACCAAAGTTCTCTATCTGACTCCGAGCCCTGCTGAATCATTCATACATGCACAAGTTAACACATTTAGTAGACTAATATGGAATCGTCTTGATTAAAGATGAGAGTTCTTGATCGTTATTACGGTTGCTATCCTACGTTTAAAAGCGTCACATTAAAGGTCAAGAGTTTTACGATCACCTTGACCATTATCGAGTCCCGGGAAGGCGACAGTTTGTAAAGGTAGGTTATGAAACCTTTGTTATACCAGGAAGAAGCGACAGCAAATATTTGACAAAATCTGCAACAATCTAAAGAAGTAAATACATGCATTACCAAGGATTCCTGGATGCAAAATATCGGGATTGTTATGGCTAAAACTTGCAAGAATCTTTTAACATTTCTTGAAGAATTTGGTAATTGGAAAACCTAAATGTACCTCCAAAACAGAGGAGTTTACACAATACTTTTCGTAACTATATCTCTATAAGCTCAACGAACAGAGGCACAACATTGACACAAAATTCAGGTATTAGTCTGCAATAAATAGTTAATATTTCCTACGTGTGATTTAAATTTAAAAATACCATGATAATTTACCATTTTATTCCCCTTCTTTAGTTCTTAGTTAATCTCTAAAAGCGTTGGTCTGACGCCCTCATCACCGTATAAAAAAGCCTCATTATATTTTGTAATATTAATCCTATTCTTGCATCTCTTTCCTTCTTTCTTTTTCTCACCCCCTTCTCTCTCTCTCTCTCTCTCTCTCTGTCTCTCTCTCTTTCTCTGTCTCTCTCTCTGTCTCTCTCTCTCCACCTCTCTTTCTCCCTCCCTTACCAGCTCTAAGACTTACTAACAAAATAAATAATGCTCCATCTCTCTCTCTCCTCTTTATTTTTCTTTTCCATATGAATTTTTAGACTTCAGAGACTCGAGTTTCTGGCAATATGAATATTAACTAGTCATTTTGAAATGGTAATTCAGCGCACAATTTCTATTAGTAACCATTAAATATTGTATTGCAACTGTATGATATTGCTTTCAGTAATCCCCCACAATTTCTCCTCATTCTTTCATTTTTTTCTGTTACGAATTTATCAAGGGACTTCAAAACCCGATCCCATGAATAATGGGACCCCCATCCCATCGGTTTAAATCACGAGTGTTTGCTATGATGTTTTTTGGTCTGTGAATTATATTAGAACAAAAACATAAACATTGATAACAAGTATTAAATAGATACAATCTTTGCATTTAATTTCCATTTCTAAGTGTGTTTTTTCCTTCAAAATAATATACACATGGCTTTTATTGACAGTTCACACACTTTTAAAATACCATTAATCTAAATAATGAATTAAAATAGAAACTATGCAACCATGATAAAGCGTAAAACAAGCAATCAAGAATGATTTTCATGGATGATTTAGGAGCATCACTGCACTCCTATCAAATCTTTAAGACATTTCAGAAATAATCACTTTGCCTTGAAAACTACTCAATTGTGATCCATTGACAAAATGCATAATATAAGTCAGGAAATAATAACCTGCAATTTGTGATGAGGTGATTTACATTTGATTGTGAACATTTAAATAAAAAATGTTTTATTTATATCCACTTTCTAACTAGTTTGAGTTACCAATTTTAGAGTCTCCTTTAAAAAATCTTTCTAATACAGAGAAAGTATTCAAGATAACAACCCAAACTAATTTTCTCATTGAAAACTCCGAGCAATTGGTCAAACACACAGCCCTACATGCCTACACTAAAAATACTTGGTATTTAAAGCCACACTGCCCTACTTGTAGCTACTGGCTCCCTCTATATAGAAAACAATGCATAATCGGTGACCATTGGTCCCCCATGATCCTCTTTTTTTAAATTAATTGAGAGCCAAGTTGATGAGATAACCACCTGTTCATTGACCTTGCAGAGGGGTCTAATCCCTCCTATAAACTAGTACAGATAAGCTTTAAAACAATCTATATCTTAAAAGTCAGTAATTTACTGCAAATCATTGTGTTGAATCAAAATCCTTGTAACTGAAGGATTTTTGACAGTTTCTATTCATGCAATAAAAATCTTACCTCGTAAGCTAGCTATGAAATTAAGCCAAACATGAACATATCCTCACACTTGCTCACCAATAGATGGCAGCACCATCTTTTTAGAATTTGCATAAGATTGATTTACAACAGTAACAAGAAAATATTGGGAAGGTGTCCGACGTGATAGTTATACAACATATCGAGGGTTCAGTGACACAAAGACGTAACTCTATATTTTGCCATAATGAGTATTGATATCCTAATGTTCAGAAAAATGTGGGCTTTCCAGGAAACACAAAGATTTAAAGATAAACTCCAGTTCTGGTAAAAAAAAAGAAAATTAATTCTCACAGAATCAAAAGAAACTTACACTGAATGTTCAAGATTACAAATAAATGACATGTGCCAAACAATTTTGGAAGAAAATGTATACTGGCTGAGTAATGAGCATAGAAAGACAAGGAAATCAAGGTAGTACTAGCCCCAACACCATGTGTGTTGTCCCATATATAGCTTTCTGTGTACAGTGCTTGTAACTTTACCAAGACTCGGTCAAATTTATTATGATTTTGATGACTCCAGAACCTTGCAGTGCACACCAATACTTACATACTACATGATCAACCGTTTCTGATCCTTTTCACACCTTTTCTTTCACAATGCAATCGCATTACCAGTACTAAAGTTTATCTTTATCTCCACTCAACACCCCATTGAAGTCAATGGCTAGTGTAACATAGACCTAACTCCTAAGGCCCAAGTGCTCAGTGACACATAAACCACTTTTTCTCAAAATGGCCAAAGTGGAGTTACGTCTTTGTGTCACTGACCCCTCAATATGACACAATACAGCAGAAGGCTAACTGTAGAGAGGGATGGAGAAAGAACTAATCAGATGACTCTGGTGTGGGGACCTGACCTTAGAAAAACACCTGAGAATGAACAGTCATATAGAGGGTTCAGAGACACAAAGACGTAACTCCATATTTTGCCAAAATGAGTATTTGATATCAAAATGTTCAGAAAAATGTGGGCTTTCCAGAAAACACAAAGACTTAACTCCACCCAATACCCCATTGAAGTCAGTCAATGGCTAGTGAAACATAGACTTAACTCCTTAAGGCCCAAGTGCTCAGTGACACATAAATCAATTTTTCTCAAAATGGCCAAAATGGAGTTACGTCTTTGTGCCACTGACCCCTTGATATGACACAATACAGCAGAAGGCTAACTGTAGAGAGGGATGGAGACAAAACTAATCAGATGACTCTGGTGTGTGGACCTGCCCTTGGAAAAACACCTGAGAATGACAGTCATATAGAGGGTTCAGAGACACAAAGACGTACCGTAATTCCATTTTGAGAAAAAGTGGTTTAAAGATAGAGGTCAACTTAAGGCCTTAAGGAGTTAAGTCTATGTTTCACTAGCCATTGACTTCAATGGGGTGTTGGGTGGAGTTAAGTCTTTGTGTTTCCTAGAAAGCCCACATTTTTCTGAACATTTTGATAACAAATACTCATTTTGGCAAAATATGGTGTCACTGAACCCTCGATATTTTCATACCTGTTTGGAGCTAGAAAGGTGTTAACTCATATACTTTACGACAGAATTGACACACTTTCTGGCTCTGAAAACGGACAATATATCAGAAGATGTATTCACTATGTGCTGAAAAGAAAGAAAGAGCATTGCAGGGCGAGTCCAGAGTTATATTTCCCTTTAATTTGTATCCAATATAATATATCACCAAATATCACAGAATAATTAAAAAATAATCCATAATCGAATTAACGTTTTCTTCTAAAAAATGTCATTCTGATCTCTGTATTGATGACCGTAATCATTCTAATGGATATACTGTTGATCATTCTGTTGGTTCATTGATAGTCATCCTGATAACCATTCTGACTATCATTGTGATTGTCAATGTGATGGTCACTCTGGTGGTCATTTTGATGTTCAATCTGATGGTCATTTTGATGGTCACTCTGATGGCCAGTCCAACAGCAATTAATAATGATGACATTTTGGTGGTCAAACCGATGGTTTTCTGATGGTCATTCTAAATGATGATCACCGATTCTGATAATCATTTTGATGTTCATTCTGATGGTCATTCCGGCCTTGACCATGGGTCTGGGAGCTCAAGCCCCTCCTTCGACTCAAAGAAGGTATACGACAGAGTAATGTTATTGACCTTTGCCATCTTTGGGTCTTCATCAAAGTCAGGATCGATGTAGAAGAACACAGGCATGTCCACCTATGTGATAGCAATCAAAGAAGAGAGATAGAAAGCAGGGTCTTGGTTAAAAGTTATTCTGAAAAGCATGTTCGAGGGGGGCGTTGCACAAAACTTGTCATCAGTGACAAATGAAAGTTTTTATTATCCTTGCTTCTGATTGGTTATCAGTAGATTTGTCACAGATTTTTGTTATTTGTCATTGAAAAAATGCTTTGGGAAACGCCCCCCAGGTGGTTTAGGGGGATTTTAAGTCTTTTAGGTTAGGGTAACTTTGAATAACTTTATACCTTTGAATCCTAAATCATGTGACTGGGTCGTGACCCACACCCACGTTATTTTTTAAAGAAATCATGCTAGCTGAAGTAGACTCAATTGTAACTTATTACTTTCACCTTCTTTGTAAGTTCGCAGGGTTTTACGACCTGAAATGTCTTACCCAAAGAAAGACACTTTCGTTGACCTGAACAGACCCAACCACAAATGTGCCCCTCATTGAACTATCACTCCAAGCATCTTTTCTATTTTCGTTGGCCTCACTATTGCTTGTACTGGCCCAACAAGGCTCTGCAGTATCACCAGCAGCTACCTCGCTTTCCAAAGTCTGTTTTGTTGCCACAATCACAGTTTTGGTTGTTATTAAAGTCATCAATATCTTCATCGTTCCCTAGTACCAAGAATAACCTTATCTACTGTGGCCATTTTCTTGCCAAAAAACACCTTACAACTGTGACTCTGTGAAGTATACAATGTACAATTATATAGAAAGCTGTTGCACAGTTATAACATGGTCATCTGACTACTAAAACTCAGGTGATCAAATGGGCATATTTTGGAAGTCAGTCTTCCAGCATTTGAGATTTTGCATTTGCTCCATAGGTTAGAAAAGTTTAAAAGTGTCTATAATTCTGTTTATCAAGATGTAATTCTAACAGACCCAACACAAATCATACTGATCTGTTATATAAATATCAATTGGAGATTGATTACAAATATCAGATATAAAACGTAGTGGCCTAAGCACTGGCCCAAAGTCTTCTGCAAAGACAATCATAAGTCTACTCTCATATCCACACCTCTTCTTACTTTGCAGTATCTGATGCCATAAGTCATAATTTTATTTCATTTCTTTTCATCCTTTTGAATTTAAACAACTTATACAGTCAAACCTGCTTTAGCAACCACCTGTATAGAAAGACCACCTGTCTACAAAGACCACTTTTTTTGTTCCCCTCGAAAATGGTTTCTTATTGAAAGCTTTATATAAAGACCACTTCCCCATACATGTCTCCCTTGGGTGGTCCTTATAAATAGACAGGTTTCACTGTATTTAAAGGTAAAGACCAGTTCTGGTCATGCGATTGCACTGTGAAAGAAATGTTGTGGAATCGATCAGAAAAGGTTGATCATCTAGCATATAAGTATTGGTGTGTACTGCAAGGTTCTGGAATCATCAAAATTATAAGAAATTTGGCCCAGTCTTGGTAAAGTTACAAGCACCAAACACAGAAAGATGTATATGGGACTACACAAACATGTGGCATAAAAATCCATCCGATTTTTAAGCTGTTACATGCCATATTTAGAATATTAAGGCATTTGAAGAGCCATGGTTTTCAGGGAACACGTTAATTCTGATGTTCTTCCACAATTGCATAATAACAATGTTAACACTCATAAATTATTTTTCACCTCTTCCCAGAACTCAACCTTCTCTTTAAATAGCACCATACCTGTTCATGAGGGTTCAGCCGCTGCTCCTCAAAGCAGAAGCACTGAATCTTGTTGAAGTACTGTCCAGCATCGAAAGGCACCACGTTGTACGTTGAGATACCAACAATGGGTTTGTCTGTAGGGTTCATGGCTGAGTAGAAGGCCAGCGCCGTCTCACCAGGGACAAGCTGGAAAGGTGCATTTTAGATATGAATAAAATTAATGTTAATGATGATGATGATACTTAATATATTAATAATAATAATAACTAAAACAACAAATACAACAAAAACAAGAAGTATAAACCTATAAACAAACTACTTCAGAAAAAGTAGGAGCATATTTATGCAATTATATAAGGAGAAGGATATTCCAACAGGCATTAAACCTTGGTAGGCCTACAGGAATATAAAATCATGAAGGGTAACAATAAGACATGTAGATGGAAACATTTCCTGTAATGGTTGGACTTTTAGAAGATTTTTAGGTTATCACTCTCATAGCATCATATGGCAAGGATTCTCTGTAGGATTCATGCCTGAATAGAAAACCAGCGCTGTCTCACTGTCACTGGGTACAACTTTGAAGAGGGTGGAGTTCAAAATGTGAGATGCTAATCATGCTCTAGCTTTATCTTTTCATTCATGCTTCTTCTAACTTCCAATACAAAATACTTCAACTAATAAAATATACAGTGGTCTACATATAAAATATCAAGAACCAGTTACACAAGGTTTTTCGAAATACTGACTAGTATCATAATCCTGGCTTTAGCTGTGCTTCTATAAGGCGCTACAGATACCCACATTTACTTCACATGGGTAGAGAGTGGCAAATGTAGATTAATTTCTTGCTGCGGGATGTTAGTGCCATGGCGAGGAATCGAACCCCGGACCTTGTGATCTATAGCCTGGTGACTTATCCACTAGGCTACAACACCTCTCACGCCCTGACCCTAATCTTGACCTTCATTGTAATAATAATAATAATAATAAAAGGCATTTCTATAGCGCCGTCTATCTAAAAATTCTATTCCGAGGTGCAATTATTATCACCCCGGCTTTAGCCTAGCTGCCATTACAGCGCTCTAGCATTAATTCCTACCAGGTACCCATGTACCTCACCTGGGTCGAGTGTGGCAAATGAAGATTAATGCCTTGCCAAAGGACATTAGTGCCGTATCGGGGATTGAACCACGACCTTTGAACTCCAAGTCAAGTGCTTAAACCACTCGACTACGACACTTGTCCTGACACATGGTGGAGTATTCTGCAATTAAGATCATACTTTTGTGATTAGACTAACCTTAACTTCACTCTGTTGAGGTCTGAAGTTCCATCTCATGCTGGCAGCAGTGTCTGCGTTGAATCGGATCACGAGCTCTCTACCTCGCACAGGTGCCATGGTCTCCACCTTCTCAGTGTCATGACCTGCAGTAGCCTGACCTCCTAACCCTGTGGCCTGTAGGTCAAATAATACAGTTAGAATAATCTTTGTGGGCATTGTTGTAGTAAGATTTAGAAAATATTTATCTGGCTCCCCTAATTATATACTTTCAGCTGATATACTTAACCAACATATATTTCATTATTAATGTATAAATCTGTCAATATAGACCTACAGAAAACTAGATTTTCTTAGCATTATAACATTTCCACTTTATCAAGGGCAAATTTAACAACATTTGATTTTAGATGTAAAATTTTGATTTAAGATTCAAAATCAAGGTTCTTCCTCTATTATCAGACCTGCCAACCTCTGGAGTTAAAAAACTGTATTCTTTAATCCCAAAAGTTGTATTTTACTGACAAAAGTTGTATTCTTAAAAATGAACACGGACTGTTACGCCGATCAATGCCTCTTACAGTTCCTACATACAGGAAGAATTTTTTTTAAGGATCGTTGGTTGAATATGCATGATTTCGTCATGACTGGTGTGTTCGATGAACCAATGAACATCCCCAAATTTCCAATGTGAGATGCTTGTAGGATATTTTATAGGACAGAATGGGCATTTTGCCATTGAAAATGACACACACACACACAAAATACCTATAAAAAAATATTTAAAAAAAAAAAAAAAAAAAACTGTCGTATTTGCTTCTAAAAATCGTACTGGTTGGCAGGTCTGTATTATGCACATCTGCTGACTTGACGTAACCGTGCCTTTAAAAATGTTAGCAAAACAAGAAATTGATACCCTACAGCACTGATTAACATGTAAGCATTTTAATAGCAAAGGTTTCTATCCTATCACTTTAGTAATGCAGGAATTTCTTGAGTAGTTCTACCACATCTGTACTTAATAAAATCCTGCACTGGTACGTTACCTGACAGAATACTGTGTAGAGGGGAACCGCTGCATATGAAAACCCGACCACGAGGACAGCTCCAGCTACTACATAGAGCATGACTGATTTATTCCTCTCCCGCCATGCACTCCTAGTCTGGTTCCTACTCTGCGAACTGTGGCAACGCACTGGTGCTGCCACACAAAGACCTCTTAGGGCATAAAGTGGACAGTTCCTGAAGAGATATTGACCTTCACTGGGCCTGGAGAGTCTTGATGTGGTACTCATGCAACCCAATGGTTTGGAGGTGTGAGCTAGACGGCATCCTTGTCCAAAGTGAGACGAGGGTTTGAGGGCACTTTGAGAAGTTCTTACACATCCTTGGTGTGATGTCATGGCTTTGAAAAGTGAAATATGGGATCTATGTAGAGGATTCCTCATTGCACTGGTTGAGTGGAAGAGATGATCAGATTTCAAGGGGGTGATTCTCTGAAGCAGGTTGTTATGGAGAATGCCCCGTTGCAGAGGAACTGATACAGATGATGCAGTCCTGGCTAAACCAAGAAGATGAGCTGATGACACCTGCATCATGTCTCCAATACTTTCCTGTAGTGGAGAAACTGAAAAAGCAAAAGCCAACTGATGCTCAATCTTAATAAAAAAAAATCAAGTTTTCAACGAGACAGAGGGAATGAAGAAAAAGTCTTTCCAAAAGCTTTCCAAAAGCTATTTACTGCTGCAGGTACTCTGCAACTAAATTATCAGTACTTCTGGGCTCATGCACAATTCAAACCAGACACCAGCTACCTTTACAATTAACTATGAGTATGATAGTTTTGCACCACTACACACTTACTTATCTACATACCAGTATTTATTTATCTCTTTAGCCCTTTTGTAGAACCAACTTCTTAAAGTAAACTTATTTGAAATTGAAGGGAGAGATATAAATTGATCCATGATAAACTGCATTGGTTTTGGATGCAGTTGATGCATCGTTTTATTTCTCTACTGCAGATTTGGAAATCTAATTTAGTCACATACCTGTCTTATATTGGCAGAAATTAATTCCTTGAAATGCTAGAGCGCCGTAATTGCAACCGTGCTAAAGCCAGGGTGATAATCGGGAGCGCCAGGAGTGACTTGTCATTTGAAATTTAATCAAAAGCATTACATTATTTCCTGATTTTTTAAAATTTTCAATCCATTTTCTCCACCTTAGCCATTCTTTGAGTAGATCTAGTCAAACTTCTTCTATCAAAAGCATGAAGAATATTCTGTCCTTTGCATTTGCACTGGGCCGCGGTGTGACAGATGTCATCAAAATTGTAAAGTAAAAAGATTGTAGACTCCATCTGTATATTTCTTGGCAATTTCTGTAATTATCTATTCTAGATCTGATGGATTGTTTTTGTTGTTTTTAATAAACTATCTGTTAACTATTGTGTGCAAATTGGAGTTTTTTTGTCTGTAACTAGGACGTGTATTTTGTAAGTTGTAACGCATTCTTGATAAATGATAACCTGATGATATCGCTGGAAAAAAAGTGGAATTATTCCGATTAATTTATCTAGTTGCACCAATTTGTAGACTAGTCTATAATTTTCATGTTCACTTGGTAGTAATTGATCTCAACAAATTCATGTAGAATATTAGAAAACATGGATCGAATGTGATTGTCACATTCCTAATATCAAAGGTGCAAGAACTTTCTCCGAACTTTGCACATCCCATCATCATTTTCACAAAACACGACATGTTTCGGAACGTATGGGACTGTAGTGCCAAACAAGCTTGATTTTATACGGATTAAATAATGTACGTACACGAAAACGAAGCTTTAATGGTAGAAATAAATACAGCTAGATGAGAAATACAGTAAACCTAAAGTATCTTACCTCAGTTCAGTATTGTAAGCATAAGTCGTGAACAACTGAACACCAATTTTGTAAAATTCATCCGAGTTACATCAGGCAACAAAACCGGTCCATAGGTAAAATACGCATGCGCAATGAGATGCTTCTTAGAAGTTGCGTAATATCTACTTGGACACCAACTTTCAGCCAATGGTCAAGAATCGACATGGTCCCCCCCCCCCCCCCCCCCCCCCACTCAGTGTTATTTGGGGTACGCGTTTCCCGGCACGCGTTTGCTCATTCCATCCCTTTGAAAGCCTCACTTATCTCAGGACTGTCAACATTTCTGAACCCCCCTTTAGCAGGCTTATCGCATGCTTTTCCTGCTTTGGGGCCCCCCTAAATCCGAAACACTGCTCAATGTACCCCCCTATCTATGATATTCAAGATGTTTTATAATCCCCTTTTTTTAAATTTCTCACGAGTCCAAAGAGAGAGAGAAAAACACCCACTTTTTTGATATTTTGAAACCCCGTTTTTTAAATTTCTAGGAGTCCAAATAGGGGGGAAAAACACCCCTTTTTTAAATCAATTTTTGGGGCGGACTTTGTTGCGAGAAAAGTACCCCTTTACCAGAGATTTTAGGAACACAAATGCGGCCCCTCCGGCATGGGCAACATCTTGTTGGGGCTTTTTTAATACATAAGATAGGCCTCAGTATCAATCTCCTTTCCTGATCAGAAGAAACCAAAATTGTATTTTTGTGCCAAAAAGTAACCCAAATGACTGGCGAATTGAAGGTGCCTGCCACTCGTTTAAAACATATTGTGACCCTCCATTTTAATTAAAATGCATGACTTTTATATTTTAACTTTGTTTATACATGTTCACTTTCTGTTTTGCTTGTCAGGAACCTGATGGCAATGTGTAATTGTAATGTAACCCACATGGACTTCACACACATCTGTATTTTGTTTAAACCGATGTGTGTTATTAGTTCATACAGGTTACAATTACTGTATCAAACTGCTCATACAAATTTCATAGATATCCTTTTTTGCTCCCTCACTACCATCCATGTTAATTTTTCTTTGTCGCTCATTCAATTCATTTCTTGCTTGCTCTCTCTCCATCCCTCTCTTGAACAGCTCTCTCAGATGTTCTCTTCTCGTCTCATTTTCACTCCCTCACTACATCCACATATATTTTTCTTCATCGCCTATTCAATCTCTCTAGCTTTCTCTCTTACACACACTCCCCACCCCACCCCCTTCCGTCTTTCATTTCTTCTCCCTCTCCAACTTTCTGATATTTGCTCCCTCACTACCATCCACATTAATTCTCCTCTGACGCTCGCTTGGTCCCTCGCTCCATCTTTCTCTTCAACTTACTTTTTTCTCTGTCTCACTTTTGCTCTCTCACTACAATCCACATCCATTTTCTTTGTTGCTCTATCCTTTCTCTCCTCCTTCTTTCTGTCCTTTATAAATACATCTACTTCCCTCTTTGATCGTTCAGGCACAAACACTTTGACTTTACTACGTTATCCCTCACTCTATTTTTCTGTCTCTCTTGCTACCATTTATCCATGTATCATAGCAAGACCATTGCACATTTTACAAACAAACCACAGAGACAATTGCAAAGACTTTTCAAAAATCAACATCAGGCAATTTCAAAAGGCTTCGATAATAGTCACCTATTGAAATGTGCTAGGACATTTTTTGTCATCTGAACAAAAGTTCTATGGAATATACAAGTGTATTGAACGTGAAACTGCCCTTAAGTCTTGAAAGCAATCATCATTTTGAAATAAAAATAAAATCATCAAGTAAATTCTTCCCAAATTGAGTTGCAGTTTGGTCATAAGGTGCAATGGCTATTAAACTTACAAATAAAGATCATCTCCCACTACAACGCCATCGTTGACACAGTAATTCTCAAAAGGTAAATTATTGTTTCTTTCTTTTCTTTATTTCGAGAAATTATATACAAACTGAACAAATAATTTTATATATATATACATAGTACAGTTAGTACCTATTTTCAAAAGCGATGCCACAAAAATAATTCATTTCTTACAGATTATCATTTTCATTTGGAAGAAACACTTATAAAAGCATGTACTAATTATACGACAGAAATACCTTTCTTTCAATATGTTACATAAGGCTTTCATAATCTCATCATCATTCTTTCGATTTTTGCACCAAGTGGAAAGCAATAGGACACATCAAAGTATGCCCAACTTGACAAAAGAAAGCAACTGTCATCTGAAATATGGGGAATATGATGGTCAAACAAATGATACAGGACAAGTTTGGAGAATTAAAGATTAAGTAGAGAGCTGGTCATGTCATGAAATTGTGAAAATTGTGAAAGAAACATTTGGGAAATGTTGATTATGTCCATTGTGAGGCTTTGGAGATGAAATGAAAATAAAACGACTCAATCTTGATTACAAACTACACACAAAAAAAAAGGTATATGGGAACATACACACATCTTGGATGAAGTTTTGGTCCATATTTAGGACTCCTAAAACTTTCAGCTATTATTCATTGAATAACGAATCTGAGGGCATTTGAAGAGCAAACCTTTAAAGGAGACATTTCTAGCACAAATATTCTTCAAAACCGATTTAAACAAAATAACAAAGCTCACAACTCATTTTTCAATGTTACCAGAACTCGACCTTCTCTATAAAATTGAGCATACCGCTATATTAAGGAAAACCCATCCACGTTTACTTTTGCTTATCTTAAGTGAAAAAAAGAAAAGAAATGTGTGTCATTTAGCACTTACTTCCTTTTTTGTCAAAGTTGGACACAGCTTGCATTGTCAAAATAACTCATAAATACAAATTACAATCAGTACAATCAGAACAGTATATGCTGCAAAAAGGGGGAACTTAAATACATATTCATGTATTTATGCTTTTGCATATATGTAATAATTCATTGCACAAAACGCTCAACACAAACAAATTCTGATAATCATAGAGATGATGAAATATGACAGGGTGCATAAATCAATCTGTTTTGTATTTGACAGAAAGACATCGATCTTTCAGACCGAAATGTTGTAGATGATTTTATTTTGATGTACAAGACAGGCTCAAATTTTGTGTGAAAACTATTAAACCTAACAGTATGGACACAATAATAAATGACTTTGTCAATCAAAATTTCCTAAATTTAATTTGCACATAATTTTTGTCTAGCGCAGAACACCACAAAACAATTTTTTTACCCGTTTTCATCAAAAACTTCATAAATATATCCAACATTTTCTTGTTTAAATGTCACTTTAAAAATTTTAACTTTCACTTTAATTTTCACTTTAAATTTACTTTAAACGCTGAACATCATACACTGAGATAGCCCAAACACTAGTGATCATTAGTATGGATGAACTACTGTATTTGCCGGCGTAAAGGCCGCAATATTTTTGGAAGCGAAAATATCAAAAAGTTGGGGTGCAGCCTTTACAGCGAAAGAGTAAAAAAAAAAAAAAAAAAAAAAGAAAGTAAAAACCAGCACGAATTTGCACATATGGGACTGGGAACGGTAAAATAACTATACCACTATGGAACAGGACATTTCTACACATCTTACCAACAATTTTATCTTGCATTGTTGACATGAAGACGAAAAAAAAAACGTCCTAACACAACATTTGCCGATAGATATTGATCAAAGTTCGTGCCAATGCATTGCAAAAGTAAGGGAAGGGACCGTTTAACGGAGCTGACGCGAACATCCATCCGAAGTCGCCATTTTGTTTTTCATTTCATGCAGTTTCGCATTACACCGTACACTGTGGTAGGGGTATAAATCGGACACCAAATCTACCTGCGATCACTTTTTTAGCTAAACTTCTAGTAAATTATAAAAATATTGATGATTTTAGTACCAGTTTGTAAAAAAAAAAATATTGTTTTCGAGAAAATGATGATTATTTTGTTTTGTCCGTTTGTTTGTTTTCCTTTTTTTTCTTTTTTTTTCCTCTTTGAAATGTCAAAGTTGGAGTGCGGCTTTATCGCCGGCAAATACGGTAACACATTCACTTGTTTTATTCCTCCTCAGTCTCTTTATATTTTTTTAACAAAAATAATTTAGTATGTAATATTTGTCGACAATTATATATGGATTCAGAATAAACTTCATTTATAACTATTTACTACTCTTTTTAGACTTCTTTGATTTCTTATGTTTATGCTTGTGGGAAGAGGATTTCTTCTCCGCTTCTTCATGCTTCTTGCTGCTGCTGCTACTCTTCTTGTGTTTCTTGTGATGCTTCTTGTGTTTGCGATGTTTCTTGTGGCTCTTCTCTTTCACCTGACTGTCCTTCTCGCTTCGGGTAGGGCTGGCTGAGGCACTCCCGTCATCCTCGTCGTCGTCGTCGTCCTCTTCTTCCTCTTCTTCGCTCTGCGTGGAGTGTTCGGAGTCCTCCTCATCGACGCTTGGTCGTGGTTTCTTGGCCTCGTGATGGTGGTGATCCATGTCTTCAGCATCCTCCTCGTAGTCGGGATCAAACTGTTCCTCATCGTGTCCCAAGTCGATCAAGGCTCCGGATTTTTTCACCTCGGTGGGGCTGCTTGGTTTCTTCTCTGTAGTACTGGTCACTTTCTGGTCATCAACAATAGAATCTTTTATCTTGCTCTTGTTACTGTCACTATCAACCTGTTTCTCCTCTTTAATGTCCTCTTTTAATTTGACCACCTTCTTTTCATCATTAATATCCATCTTTTCATCTTTTGTGAGATTCTTCTCGGGACTAGCTTCTCTATCATCATCACTACACTTTTCTTTCTCTACCTTAATCTTCTTGACATGTTCTTTGTTAGGGTTAACATCACTGCTTTTGCGTTTCAGTTGTTTCGATTTCTCTTTCTTCACCTTAACTTTTGTCTTCTTTGACTTTTCTTTGACTTTGACTCTTTCATCAAGTTCCTCTTCTTCAATCCTCTCTTCCTTAATTTTCATGGGTTTAGTATCAATCTGTTTCACAGTTCTCTTGTAGGACTTGGTGCTGGAGTGTCGGGCCGGGGACTTGTCCATGCCTCTGTCTGGTGACCGTGCTACGACAACACGCCTACTGTCGCCAACTGTTCCTCCAAGTCTGCCCTCTAGCTTAGAGCCTTTGGGTAGGGGTGAGTTTGTCATCGTTTGGACTCTGGATTTTGGACTGTATCCCGCTGAACTGGTGCTTGCATAATCCACAATATTCACAGCTGATTTTAGAGAATTCTTCACAGTGCCTTTATCATGATCGTCACTAACTACAACAGATTTGGGCTTCTTCTTTTTTGATTTCTTCACTTTTGGTTCGCTAGAATATTTCTCAGCATCTTTGACTTTCTTTGTCTTCTTCACCTTCTCACCCTTCTTTTCTTTTTCAGGTGGCTCCTCATCGTGTGACTCCTTACTCTTCTCTCCATCAGTTTTGATCTTATGTTTCTTGGTTTTCTTGGTTTTTCCCTCCGTCTCTTTTTGCTTCTTCTTCTTCTTAGTCTTCTTCACTTCAGGTTCCTTTTTAGATTCTCTAGAAACTTCATCACCTTTGTTACTTTCCTTTTCAGAATGATCCTCCTTGTCTGGACTCTTTGAACGGTCCACAGATTTTCTGGAGTCTTTCTTCTCATCAGCACTCCTTGCATGTTCACTCTCTTGACTCTTCTTGTCTCGGTGCCTATGTTTATGTCTGTGCTTGGATTCCCTATCTCTTTCCTTCTCTTCGGAGTATTTCTCATCGCCTATCTGCTCATGACGTACTCTTTCTTCCTGTTCCACGTCATAGTCCTTGTCTGTCCTCCTATGTCTGTCCAGATCATTATCCCTTCTCTTGTGTCTTTCGGTATCCTCTGGATACTCCTTACTCCTACCTCTTTCCTTATATCTATCATTGTCTCTCTCTCTTTCTTGGTGTTGTCCTCTTTCCCGATCATATAGTCTTTCACTGTCTGGATCATCTTCCCTTTCTCTTTCATATTCTCTTGGTCGATCCCTTTCTCTATCTCCATCTCGGCGAGTTTCCCTCTCCCTGTCATCACGAGGTCTTTCTCTTTCTCGATCAACATCCCTTTCTCTGTATCGAACCCTTTCCCTGAGGATGTCCCTGTCAGGGTGCCTTTGTCTTTCCCTATCATAACCCCGGTCAGCTTCATGTCTGGCTCTTTCCCTTTCCCTTTCATATCGTTGACTTTCGTAGTACCTCCTTTCATTTTCATATCTGGCTTTTTCGCTGTCATAACGTTCTTGATCCACTTCAGGTAATCCATCTTTTTCATGTCTGTTCTCCCTATCTTGATCTCTGTGTCTTTCATCATCCCTGACTCTTCTAAGATCTCTTTCTCTATCCCTGCCATGATCTCGCTCTCTGCCTCTGTCCTTTTCATGTTCCCTATCTCGTTCACGCTCTCGATCCTGTTCTCCGTCTACTGTTGCATCCTTACCCTTATCCTTTTCTTGGTCCCTATCTCTTTCACGCTCTCGCCCCTGTTCTCCGTCTTCTGTTGAATCCTTACCCCTATCCTGCTCATTTTTCCTATCTTTGTCATGATCACTCTTTCTTTCTTTATGTTGTTCATGTTTCCTTTCTCTGTCTTTAGACCTGCTACCATCTTTTGTAATCTCATCTTTTTGACAAGACTCTTCCTTTGGAGTCCCTTTCTTGTCTCCAGACTTCTTTTCTTCACTGGATTGACGAGACTTTGATTTACGTTCTTCTTTCTTTTCCCTCTCCTTTCGATCTTCAGAATTGCCTTCCTTGTCTCTGGCTTTCCTGTCCGTACTTTTACTTCTATTTTTGTTTCTGTCATGGTCTCTTCCCCTACGCTCTCTATGTCTGCGCTCTCTACCTTGAGGATCTCCGTCTGCATAAACAGGTTGTGGTCCATCTGGATGAGGGTATCTATGGTCTGGTGGAGGGTACCTGGAATCCCGAGACTGTCCCCAATATGGATTGTCCCTTCTATCCTCCCTCTGATCCTCAAATCTAGGATCAAACGGGAAGTCTCCAAATGGTCTGGGAGGTGGTCCCCTCTCTGGATCGAATGGAGGGAAGTTAAGTAGAGGGAGAGCTGGTGGAGGAAGACCTGGTGGAGGGAGACCAGGTGGGGGGAGCATGGGAAAAAGTGGTGGTGGTGGAAGTGTAGATGGGTGGGGTAGACCTGGTGGTGGCATTAGTGGTGGACCACCTTGCCGAGGACCCTGCTGCTGAGAGCCCTGCTGCTGGGGACCTTGATGATCCTGTGGAGGTCTCTGTGGAGGCCCATGGGGTGGGAAACCTGGTGGAGCATTTGGAGGTCTCTGAGGTCCAGGGGGTCCTCCTGGTGGGCCATAAGGTGGCCCCTGGGGACCTGGAGGTCCATTTGGTGGTCCACCTGGATGAAGACCGGGAGGCATGTTTGGAGGATTGAACCTGTCAAAGGGAGGTTGATCATTGTTCCTCTGGTCATATTGGTCATACTGTCTACTCCGATCGTCATATCGAGGAAACCTTGGTCCAAACCTCTGATGACCTCGGTATGAATATCCTCTCTGATTGTAATACCTGCCTCTCCCTCTTCCTCTTCGCCTGAAATCTGGTTGCGGTGATAGCGAGTGGTCTCTCCTCCGTTGGTACGGTCTATCCCCCCTCTGCATATATCGTTCTCTTGACATCTGACGATGTCTGGGGGAGTATGACCTTTCTCTTGATCTATACCTTTCTCTCCGTGGTCTATCCCTGCGCTGTGGAGAGCGAGAACGTGAAAAGGAACGTGATCGTGAACGTGTCCATGAGCGAGATCTACTCCAAGACCTGTAGCTGGATCCTGAGCGGGACCAGGAGCGAGACCGTGATCTTCTCCATGAACCTGATCTTGACCTTGATCTGCTACTCCAAGACCCAGAACTGCTTGACCTGGAATAAGAGCCACGCAATTTCCTCTTCTGAGCTTGACAAAATTTTTCCATTTCTGCAGCTACATCATCCTTCACTTTTTCTGGTTGATCAGGTTGCCTAGAAACAAGAAGTAAGAAGGAAAGAACAATAAATTCAAAGCCACCACTAAAAACGTATCTCAAAACACAATTTTTCCTTTTTTTCCAACATGTTGTTGAAACATATCACCATGTAGAATAGGCCCTTCAAGGTGTACATGTATCTCAATAAAGTATTAAAATCCTTTTATTTTCTGAAATATTGCAAAAGGAGAAAGGAAAAGTATGTTTTCTGGCTTGTGATTGCACTTTGATAGAGATCTTCACTTAAAGCCCATCTGTACTAGTTTACAGGTGGGATAAGACCACCCTGCAAGGTCACTGACAGGCGGTTATCTCATCAAATCAGCTGTCACTTAACATAAGAAAAAGAGGATCATGGGTAACCAACGGGCACCACTTCGGCATTGTTTGCTATATAGAGGGCACAAGTAGATTTAAGTATTACAGTAGGGCTTTAACATGTAAAATTTAACCTAAAATTTAACCTAAAGTTCAGTTAGCAATAAAATGAATGCTTTCTTGAAACCATGTTCATTACAAAGCTTATAAAAGTCATCGTAATTGTGAGACTACACTTACGTATCACTCTTTGCTTGATCAGATAAATATGCCGAGTCTTGACTCTGAGGTTTGGTTTCTGAGGAGAAAAAGAAAGAAATGGTGAATAAGCAAATTGTAATGACTATATATCTTGGTACATGATAATCAATATTTGAATTTATCATCACTGTACTTTTCATCTTGATGTGAATGTAACATGTAATTTTCGGACAATGCACTAGAGAAAATTTAAAAAAGTAACGGACATTCAGACTAACCTTTTACACTTAAACATCATTCAAAACTATTTTGCTTACAGTGTATGTTCTTAATATTTTGGACGAGCACATACCTCAAGACTGAATAATATGAATGGCCTTCTTCGTCTTCCCCTCTCTCTTTCATCCTTTTATTATTTTTCCTCTCTTGATTTGTACGTAGTCAGTTTGTTTTGCTTGTAAATTAAACAGTTTGGCTATTGGGATGCATTTGCTCAGTGTTTTTATTTAAGTAAACCAATGAAATAAAATAAAATATAAAATCAAATCATGTTTTCATTTTTTTTTTTCTTCAAATACTTATTTTGTCCAGAGTTTGTGTGATCTTTCAGAAAACTCCCAAGGAATTAAGAGATTTGGCATCTCTGAACTTACTTTAAGTAGTTCAAAAGGGTTCTGAAAAGGAAGAGTTTTGTACCTTGAGATGAGACTTCTGGCTGAGGTGCTGCTGCAACTACCGCTGCTTCTGCTGGAGGTGCTGTATTGATGGGTGGTGGCTTACTGAAGTCTACGATGACAGGAGCACTAACATCCTGGAGACCTGGAGGGGGTTGGGTGAAATCTACGACAACAGGAGGAGCTTGGCCTGCCATCACTGGTGGAGGCTGGGAATGAGCTGTCTGTGTTGGTGCCTGGGTTGGAGGGGGCAGTGATGTCCCTTGGGCTGTGGCATGTGCCGGTTGAGCAGTAGCAAGCACTGTTTGATGAACTTGGTGTACAGATGTTGGTATGGCGCTGGTATGGGCTGGTGAATTATGTTGACCAGGTTGTGGTGGATGTTGCCCTGGTTGTGGTGGATGTTGCCCTGGTGGTGGAAGTTGACCTGGTTGTGGTGGATGTTGCCCTAGCTGTGGAGGATGTTGACCAGGTTGTGGTGGATGTATACCAGGCTGTGGCGGATGTTGACCAGGTTGTGGTGGATGTTGCCCTGGTGGTGGCAGTTGACCAGGCTGCGGGGGAAGTTGCCCTGGCTGTGGCGGATGTTGCCCTGGCTGTGGCAGATGTTGACCAGGTTGCGGAGGGTGTTGCCCTGGCTGTGGCAGATGTTGAGTAGGTTGCGGGGGATGTTGCCCAGGCTGTAGTGGATGTTGCCCTGGCTGTGGGGGAAGTTGCCCAGGCTGTGGTTGATGTTGACCAGGCTGCGGTGGGTGATGACTAGGTTGTGGTGGATGTTGCCCTGGCTGTGATGCTTGCTGACCAGGCTGTGGTGGATGTTGACCAGGTTGTGGGGGATGTTGACTAGGCTGTGGTGGATGTTGACCAGGTTGCAGGGGAACTTGACCAGGTAGCGGGGGAAGTTGCCCAGGCTGTGGTGGGTGATGAATAGGTTGTGGTGGATGTTGGCCAGGTTGTGGTAGATATTGACCAGGTTGCGGGGGATGTTGCCCTGGTTGTGGTGCTTGCTGACCAGGCTGTGGCACGTGTTGAACAGCCTGTATCAAAGGCAGACCAAGTTTTTGTGAATGTTGCTCGGACGGAGGAGGCTGGTGAAGATGTGTTGCAGGGTGTTGCAGGGTTGGAGGTTGTTGCAGGGTTGGAGGTTGTTGGTGATGCCCTACAGGAGGGGCAAGCGATGTTGCAGGAGGAGGATGCTGGGGGGCTTCAGGTTGATGATGATGTTGTTGATGAGCCTGATATCCTCCTGACTCACTAGACTCTGATTGTTCATTGCTTTGTCCACCATATTCCCTTCTTGAGTATTCCCTATCATTATAGTCATTGTAGGACCTGTGATGATATGGACGAGAGTTGTACGGTCTGTATGATTCTCTCCCTCTTCCTCTGTAATAAGAGCCGCTCTCCCCTGAAAAATAAAACAACATACAAAACAACCGTAAGTATGCAACACTACTAGCAATACAGCTGAACATTCAACGTTACAAAAGCAAGATCCTCATTGAAGATTCATGGACTGCAGGGAAAAAGTGAGTCAATAGTGTACTGTATCCCATCTCCAGAAAGACCAACTGCCATTGTAAATACCCAGGACACATTACAAAAAATATTCCACTGATATTTTTTTCATCTGCGGTTTAGTTTCACAATCATTCACATGTACAAAAGAGCTATCTTGTTACAAATGGATACAAACAGAGCCATCCACATCATCACGATGTCATGCAAATATTGTGTAATTAATGTAGATTCTACAAAATTTCACGTGGAAATAGATCATTAAAGATATTTGCTAAAATGTCAATGATGATTAAAACTTAACTTACAACTTTTAAACGGTTAAACTTACCCCTATAATTGTCATCACGTTTCCAGTCTCCTTCATTTCTTGGCTATGTGAGGAAAAAAGAGAGATTGATAGATTTCAAATCATCTTCCAAGGTACCTTGTATAACTGGGTAGAAGAGCTTGATTAGAAAAATCACTAAGACAAAAGTGTTTTCTTAATCATCAGTCATTTATTGTATATTGTGATAGTACTATCATAAATTCATTGTGACAAAGATGCTATGCACATTATGTCAACCAAATATCCAAGAAGTGAGACTAATGCTGAGCAAGGTAGTTCCTTGCTTTTGAATTGAACTATGCTTACTGTAGGGTTGTTGAAAGGAGATGAGAAAAACAGATCAAAGGACTATGGTAGGAAAACCCTGAGGAATGGAGATGGTGCACACTAAATCCAGTGTTCCCAGGAAATATACTGTAAGGTTTGTACTGTAAACGCTTTGAAGTATTCATGAATGCACTATATAAAGGTTTATTATTATCCTTATTAGCAAATGACTACATGGGTATGAGGTTAACCAACATGTATGTCTCAGGAGATGCTCCTGCCACAATTGATTTTTGCTTTATTTCATATAAGGCATAGGATTAGGGTTGTGGTTGCAATTGGGCTTTAGGTTAGGTTAGGTTTAGGGTTAGGGTAAGGTATAGTGTTTGGTCCAGGGTTGAAGTTAGGAATTGGTTAGTGTAGGAAATGAATGCAGAGCAATTTTCGCTGGAGCGAGTGTCGTACAACCAATTCTAAAACACTGATATGGATGCCTGGCATTTTTGTCTCATCTCTCGTACAGCGAGTCCCACCCTTATTCCAGCTAAATCATTCTTACCTTGGAGTGCCATCGGTCATCCTCCCAGGAGCCGTGGCTCCTCTCTCCTCTTTGTTCTGATGGGGGTGCAGAGGTAGAGGGGGGAGGGGGTGGAGGTGGTTCCTCTTGAGTTTGGGGCGGGGGTAGGGGAGGTTGCTGAGGCTTGGGCTTTGGGCGTCGCACGTAGCTGGTTTCACTCTTGAAGCTTAGCACAGACTATGAGGAAAAAGGTAGAATAGCAATGATTAAACAGAAAGCAAAACAATTTCAAATAGGATAACATACAACTGAAAAATCACCACCAGTAATTAGTAAATTATCCAGTGTTTCAATTGTTTTTACCGCATCAAACCTGATTAGCAGGTTCTTCTAACAATAAGTTGGTTGGTGGACAGTGTAATTAGTGAATTATGTGTCTGAGAGAAAGGCTGTAGTTTGGCAATTTCCAAATTAATTTTGTTAGCTTAAGAAGAGTAAAATCGTAACACATTCTTCTAGCCATTCTTCATGAGTGTCTACACAGCCATTTAAACTCTTCTATACTGTCGCTTAGAGCAAAGACACGATATCATTTCAGAGTTTCCTCGACAAGTCTTTACTTGAAGGAACACAATTAACTGCTGCAAAGCTGTAGGCTATACCTCTGGTTACTTGTAAGTCTTGCATTTCAAGCTACAGCACATGTGCTCTTGTGCTATTTAGCGTTCAACCCACCAAGGCTAAGGTTGCAAGTTTGATCGAGAGTGCTTACCTTTCTGAGTTGCTGATTTGGCACAAGGGAATTAGGCGATACGTCCTGCTCATTGCATATAGGACATGTGTGATCATCTGTCTCTAGCAGAGAGTTACGTATACCTACATACACAAAAGGGAGGAATTGTTTTGTTAAAATTACAAGTAAAAGTGCTTGCTTGATACATCTGAATGATTTCAAATTGGATATTTTCCCAGGAATAACAGATAACATAACAACATTATTTGGCAAAATCTGACCCACCTTCACAAAAAATAAGTAATTTTTTGAAAACTTTAGTCTTGACAATTCTTTGATAATACTGTAATAAAATTGAAAAAAGGCTTGCTTGATTGACATATATGATAGTTTTGCCTCATAAGATTAAAGGATCATAGGATAAAAAAGCAATAAACTTTTCTTCCTTACAATTAAAGAGACAACCAATGCTTGCCGTAAAACAGAAACATCTTGCATGTGAAACATGAACATTTTTTAGTGGTCCAGATACGACACGGTTTGTATGTTCTCTTTTGCATGTATTTTCATGCTTTTAATTTTTGACAGTTGTTATCTGACAATGTATCATTTGTAATGTATTGAATATACCTTGCGGCAGGTAAAGCTTTCTGCTAAACAAGTTATCCAATAAAGTCTAGTACTACTACTTCTACGACCACTTGTTGAATTAAAAATTGCTACTGTTGCAACACACAAAAGTTCCTGGGGGGCGTTTCACAAAACTTGTCATCAATGACAAATGACAGGTTTTGTTATAAGCTATTGAAATCCTTGCTTCTGATTGGTTATCAGCAAATTTGTCACTGATTTTTGTCATTTGTCATTGGAAAAAGGCTTTTTGAAACGCCCCCCCCCCCTGGTCTTACAGAACAAACTGGTGCTTCGCTGCATCAAACTCACATTCATCACAGAAGCTATTCCCACAACACGGGATGAGGACAGCATCGGTCATCAGGTTCTCACAAAGCTTACAGAGCAGTTCGTCTGGAATCTCTGGTTGCTCCTCCTCTGGCTCCGGTGTGCTGCTCTTGACGAAGGGCGGCTTCTCCTTCTTGCCTATCAGGTATGCTTGCCTGGATGATCAAAGATAAAGGATATGCAACTTGTTACTTTCTTTTTAAAAAAAATTTTTTATGAAGGGGTGATTTTTTTGTCATTTATTGTTCTTCAAATTGGCAACAGTAATATTTTTATTTAATTGCTACATTGTTAAAATTAAAAATTTATTTCATAGAAGAAAGAGGACAATTTCAATCAAAAAGCAATGATTTTGAATCTCACAACATACTTCCAATTTAAGGACTTTAAAGCTTTACTTTTTAAACTTCCTGGGGGGTGTTTCACAAAGATCCTAAGTAGAACTTAACTCTAAGTTGGACTTAAAAATTATGGACAGCCATTGGAGTCTTAAAATGAAATATATTCAAAAGCAGAAATTCAAGTATTTTATACTTTTTTATAAATTCCAAATCCAGAACATGAAATCTCCTTGATGATAGAATATATGAATGATTTAAATCAACATTTTATGCCTTTCAAAATAACTTCTACAAAATATTTTCAACGATGCTAACGGCTTTCCATAATTTTTAAGTCCAACTTAGAGATAAGTTCAACTTAGAATCTTTGTGAAACACCCCCCTGGCATCAAACGCGATACAGTCATAAAACAAAGAATGGATGCAGCGTGTTCAGATATTTTTGCTATTTCAACAATCTCTCTCGACACGCTATACATTTTGTGTATAATGGAAAATGGCATTCTCGCAGAATCCACTCAAGCTTACACTGAATAGTCTGAACAAATATTGTCGAAACACAAAAATCTTAAATTTTAGAAGAACTAGATAATTGGATTCTTAACCCTTTGCTGAAGGGAACCTGGTGGTCTCTGTGTTAAGCCTATGGGACCTATAGAATTCAGAAGTCACAGGGTTAACCAAGGTAACTTACAGGTCCATCATGGGTATGTCCAACGTTGTCATTCTGGATCTTGGGATTCCTGCGCTGGACTTCATCATCATAGGACGACTTGTGTATCCACTCTTATTATCATCATCCTATCAAAACAAGAAAAAGAAAAGAAAACAATAAAATAATCCTTGACATCATTCTTAACAGAAAGCTTTCTAATCGCCTTGGTGATATGATATAAAGTACTTTATTTGATGTAAAGAAGACATACAATTTAAACATAATATAAAGAAGACTTTTCCAATAGCACTATTTATTTTGCACGATTTTGTTCGAACTTTTACCAATCTGTTTCTCTAACTTTTCAGCTTTCAGCGATACTCTACAACACTAATGTGAAGAGAATGCAAAATCTCACAATGTTATTTTTCACCTTTTCCAGAACTCAACCTATCCTTTAAAACGGGACTGAACTACTTGTAGCTACTTGCCCCCTATATATATAGCAAACAATGCCTTAGCGGTACCTGTTGGTCCCCTATGATCCCCTTTTTCTTATGTTAATTGAGAGCCGATTTGATGAGATAACCACCTATCGGTGACCATGCTGGGAGGTCTAATCCCTCCTGGCCCCAAGTAGTGCAGATAGGCTTTAAATAAATGCTTGGATGGCAATGTTTTATTTTATCATAGAAACTAAGTACTTACATTATTTATATTGGGGCACCTGTGCTTGAAGTGTCCAGCCTTGTTGCACTTGTGGCAGATGTAGTTTCGTGGGGGTGGGGCATTGCGGTTCAGCTGCCTTGTGTCAATATACCTACAGAAATTAAACAGAAATGATAAACATCATAAAGAACCTATATATGGTGCTGTTGGGGATACAACAGATGACAACATCTTGGCCCTGTCTAATAAAGAGTTGCGATTGATTGTGGCAATGCCGTGTCTAGTAGATACATCAACGGACTGTGATCACAGGGTTCACTGTTCCGAGTACCTTTGGCAAGAAATTAATCTACATTTCCCACTCTCGACCAAGGCGAGGTAAATGGGTACCTGGCAGGAATGAATTCCTTTCAGTGCCCTAGGTATTGGAATTTTAATTAGCATTTCATCAAACAAGACTCATCCACTTAAAAATCTGGACCCAGGTAATACTGCTGCTTACATTGCAGCTTTCTTCTCATCTGGGCCAGCACAGACCAACAGTGTTTATCAGAACCGTACTCTCTTCCTCTTTAGGTGCTTCATCTCTAAACTTTTTGGCGATCATGTCGTTACACCACCCTCTGTTTCTAGCCTACTCCATCAGCACCAGCTTATCTCATACGTTATTTCCCCCCCCCCTTTTTTTTTGAAGGGTTTCACCCCTCATATTGGCAAAGGGGGTATCTCGCCGAGCGGCGAATGCCTACCATCGTTTGAATTTTGGATTCTCCAACTTAAGCGACAACGTCTTACTACCGGTTGTAAAGGCTTACGACTGTTTTGCAAACGTTTATAACTGTTTGCAGAAAAACAATTTCGCATTGCAACAAGAAAAACATGAAAACTGTTTGCGAACTGCCTTGCAACCTATTATGAACTATGGCGACAAAACCCCAAATTCGCTAAGCTCGCAAGCATTTGCCGCTCAGTGAGATACCCCCTTTACTGCCTCCTTGTTTATTCATTTCTTACCTTGAGGGGTTGTATTCCTGGCCAGCCTGCATGACCATGGCGGATATCTTGTCATCTTCAGAAGCATCTATGGACACCAGATCTGCTCTCTATGGGGTTGTAATATGGGACAGGTATCAAATACATAATCAATAACATTGTAGTTGGTTCAAAGTGAGATAAGTTTATACAAGGACTTCCTGGAAGAGTGAAGGTTTGTTACACCTACATGGTTGTAAGGTCCATGACACAACATACTTCAATGTGTTCTGTTCCCATGACCTTTAGACTAGCCAGAGGGTTTACAAGGTCCACTGGACCAGGGACCTCGGTCTCAAAAACCATTAATCTCAAAAACCGTTCACAAATGGATTAACACTACTAGTCCTTTTTTCCTTTTTATAACACCAACATACCCATTAACATTCAACACACTAGTCATGCAACCTTATACTAGATGGAAATATTTTGTGCAGATCGGAAATAACAGAACAAGGTTAGGAATGGGGCATCAGTTGGAACATAAGAATGTTTTTTTCCCCATCGAGTAACTAGAATACATTTTAAACATAAATCATCATTCCATTATTACTAATGATGCAATTCTTGTTTTTATTGCATTAGTTTCATAACCCAAACCACACTAATACAAATTCTTGAGGTGATCTATCATCACTATTGTAGTTGCTATCTTTCAAGAATACGGTCTTCCAAAATTCATGTGCAGCAGGGTCTCTCATTCCAACAAAAACCAAGACCCACTGGCCTGAATTCACAAAGGAGGTTTGTCAACAAACCTTTTGAGTGCGTCATATGATGCGTTTCAGGCAAACCTTGGTCTGAAACGCGTAAAAAAGTGTCATATGACTCACATAAACCTAGGTTTGTCTACAAACTTTGTTTGTAAATTCGGGCCACTAAGTCTATGGAAGACAAAGCTCCTTAAGTGTTCAATCACCTACAAAAATAATTAGTGATTAGCTAGAATATATCAAATCAACCTCAGAAAAATACACCCCACATTTTATGGGCTGAAAGATACTAAAGAAGTATGAAGAAAATAAAACATGTGGGCCCTATTTTATGCAAGCCCTTACTGTAAACATTGTTATTTTCGCATGATTAATTTTTCGCGCTGAGCGACCTCAAAACATATTTGCGGGTTCTTACATTCGCGTTGCACGCAATTCAGCCCTTTCAAAATACGCATGAGAAGTCATGCTTATATATTCGCGGTTTTAATATTCGCAAACACCGATTTTAGCGCAAAATCTGCGAAAAAATTAAAGCACCGCCAATATTACGTTTACAGTAATCTATTGCATGTAGTACATTAATTTTTTGTTTTCATTAAAATTATTTCAAAGAAATATTATTCTCACCTTGCTTAGTTGTGCTATAGTCATCTTTAGACCCTGTATGAAGTAAATAAAATGTTGATTACACAGATGAAAAATGCATTTGGTAATTACCAAAAGCGGAAATGCAATAGGAAAGAAAGATTGATACTGTCGTGTCAGATAAATGAAATAAACTTTAAAAAAAACCCTAAAAATGTATCATAGGTTGACCCAAAGAACAAATATGAAAAAAACCCACAAAAACCCTCATCTTTCCTGATAGTTTCCTTTGAGGAATAGCTATAGAGTAAAATTTGCAGTATGGCATGCTGCCTGGGAGTATTACTAATCCCCTAAAGCCTAATAATACTTACCTGAGAAGATCTAACCAAGATTGCTCTCCTTAGAAAGTTACGCCAAAACAAGGGAATTTCAATACAATCTAAAAATTTAATTGACAAAGGTTCAGGGATACGTGCATGTTTGAGGGGCTGGGGTGGATACAGTAGAGTTTCAAAATAAATTCTGTTTCTGAGATTGACAGGAAGTGTGGGGAGATTGAGGTCAAAAGTGGCACAAGGGGTTGCCAAAGGTCAGAATATGCTGACAGACAAGAAAGCACTTCTGAGATTGACAGATCAGGTTTGTGCGGTCAGGAAGGAGGGAGAAACAGAAGACTACACAGAGGGATCAGGGTGATTTTACCCCACAGATCTTGCAGTAGCCCCCAAAGCCTTCCTATAAAGTAACTGGTAGTCCCTGTATTGTGTACATGTACTTAAATCTATGACTATGAAGATTTCTATTTTGTTAAAGATTTGGAAAGAGTTCCCAGAAAAAAGGGGGAATTTTTTTTTTTTGATGCTTTAGAAAACATCAACAAAGTGAGTAAAATTGTAGAGAGTAACAATTTGATGGATTAAATGTTCACTCTGGCTTTGTGAAACACTCTTCAAACATAGCAACCATAACTCCAACAACCTCTCTCTCTTGCTCTGTCTTGCTCTGTCTTTGATTACCTCTCTGTTATTAAAGCCAAGGTTATTTCCCTATCCGTAGGTATTAAGGCATCGTTAAGCTACCTCTTCCATAACTCAATGGAGTACCCAAGTGCTAACGTCATTTTTCGCTCGTCATCCAGCTTACTGGTTCCAAAGAACAGAGCCGGCACATGGGGTTCAAGGTGACATCGTTCAAGCAACAGGTTGGAGAAGGGCAAATCCAGTGTCCTGTGCTGGGGGGCGTTTCACAAAACTTGTCATCAGTGACAAATTACAGTTTTTGTTATAAGCTACTGAAATCCTTGCTTCTGATTGGTTATCAGCAGATTTGTCATTGAAAAAAGGGTTTGTGAAACAGGTCCCTGGTGTGATCACCATGCCAGGGGGTTAGCTAGCATAGAATTGTTGGAACCATCAACCTTGACAACTTGGCCAATATGACGTCACACTTCGGTACTTATTAGGTATGTCTTCATCAACTCGAGATTGCCAAATAGCCTGCTATTTCTGATTTGGGAAATAAGCCTGAAGTTACAAATTGCGTCTTCATCACCTGGAGACTCGACCTCTAAACTCAAGCTATAAGCTCAAGATATTTTGCTCAGCGTTCGCGCATAGTGCTAGTCTTCAGGCTGGTGAGGACGCACCAGACAAATAGCGGGATATTTTACAAACTAGCCCAGGATATATTGGGATGATTATCTCGACCAAATATCCCACTAATTGCAACTTCGGGCTGATGAAAACGCAAATTAGCTGGATAATTTGCAATTGGGATAGTTATAATGGCGGGTTATTTGGCAATCTCGAGCTTATGAAGACATGCCTTATGAGGTTAGGAATATGTAAAGAATTGAGAACATTCTGCAGCAATGGTCGTGCGCACCCTAGCTACGCAGGGCCAGCTGATCATGTATTTATACTAGTGCTGTAACATCACGGATATCTTCAATTCCGTTTAACCGCCAGGCAAAACCGGACGGTTTTTGGTTAAACGATTTTAAATTTTTTTTTTAAATATTGTTTTTTTTTTTTGGACCAACTCTGTCGGCAGCAAGCCAGGTTCGCGTGAAAAAGCGGGAAGGACTTTCATTTAACTGCGAGGTGCATTTGAAGGCGCCGATTTGTGCTTGTGAACTTGTCACAAATAATAGTAACAATGTCGTTTTTAGAAGAATGTGTAAGATCATTAATGTAAATTAAAAACAGTAGAGGACCTAGGAGACATTGCCAGGCATAGTGCCAGGTGGAGGGGCATAAATCGAAACTTATAAAAAAAAAAAAAAAAAAAAAAAAAAAAAAAAAAGGGAAAACGAAACCGTCCAATTGAAAACGGAATCCGCCATGGGCGGTCGGATACCGGACCGTTAAACGTTCGACTACAGCACTAATTTATACTGCACAATACCAGGAACTCCAGGCGTTGTGCATGGTGAATACATAACCAGCTGGCCCTGCGCAGCTAAGGTGCACACAAAAATACATGCGCAGCATCCTTATAAGATAGATACCCATCTCAAAAATTTTACAAGTGATTTGTCTGAAATTTTAAGCAGGTCGATACTCTACATGGATGACCCAATTTAGTTTCACATCTAAAAAAGCAAGCGAAACACAAGCACAATGTGTTTTGTCATTTAAGAGAAATACAATAAACTCTGCATAAGTGGAATCTGTTGGGATGGCAAAAAATAGTCAGACTTAAGCAAAATTTGACTTACAAAGTGTAAATAGCACGTTTTGCAGTTTGGGCCCAAAATTTATTTGACTTGGGGAAACTTTAACTTGTGCAAGATTTGCAGAGTTAACTATCATGCCAGCAGCCATACCCATGGAAAATGAATAAACCCTGGCTTTCTCACTCTCAAACAACCTCACACATCAGCGGAGAATATGGTCAAAGATGAACTTAACATCACACGTCCTCGGGCACAGTAACATCAACAAAACAGTCACACAGCCACCAATCACATTTATGAAGAGAGATCTCAAAAGAGGAAAACTTCAATATGTATTCCAATAACTGGTGTATTGAATTCTCAAGAACGTTACACAGGTAATGTACAAATTGTTACATCTAATATTTCAACTTGACTGCCATCTACGGTAGTCTAGATTTGAAGAGAAATAATTAGTCAAAAAGCAAGTTGAGTTTTAGAAAATAGTTTCACGTTTTGGCTCCATCTAAATAATTTGTTTTCCTTTCCATAGCACTTGAAAATAAAAATATTTTGTGAAGGACTTTGCTAAAACATTTGATTTATGCTAGGGGCAGTCCAACCTTGTTCTTTAAATGAGTCATTTTCATGAAAGGAGAAAAAATTCAGAGAAAATGATTATCTAAAATTGGTTTGGTCGATAGTGATGTACAAACAACTCCCCCGTTTGGCGAGACTAAATATCATGAATTTCTTCTGCTTTTCTTTTTGAGTAATGGAACCCGGGGACGAGACAATGCACTTAGATTAGAACACATCGGTTCAATCTACTTCAAAGTTTCAACTTACATGTTTGAATTTTTATTTGTAGACCACCCGAGGAGTAAGAATGTAAAAATGTATAAATTGTTACCAGGTGAAGACAGTCCTCTCCAATGCTATAGAGTGGCACTACATGGCCATTGTATAAGAAGACATGGCACTACTTGGCACATATGGCCAATCTCTAAAAGCAAAAGGGGCGATTGCTGGGAAATAATTTGGCTCTACGGCAACTATGGGGCTCCTACTATATGTTTACGGTGCCATCATTTGATCAAATCAAAATTAATCATACACCACGCTTTCGGCTGGGACTTGCATGAACGTGTGACCGTAACAGTTGAAAACAATAATCTATGCACATCCATGCTTCAATAAGGTGTTATCTCAATGTCTCCTGTATCAAACAGGATTCCTGTTTGCAAGTGGTTCTTTAATCGTTTTGTCAGGTCGGCTAGATATATATTTTAAATTATGTTGCCAGTCCGTTTACAAGACTAACTACACTGCATAATTCCAGCAAAAACACAGGCATGGGAAGAATTGTGTATTTGAAAACAGGAGAGATTTTCTATTGCATTAACACAAGAGCAAGTTGGGACGCACCAGTGATGTTAGGTGAAAAAAACAAGATTTACTGATTGCACAAAGAATATCGATATTGATATCAAGTCAGTATGCAATTTTCCTCTTTCCAGCTTTACTGACGCATTAAATTTAGGATATCGCGGGTCCATACAATTTAGACCGGTTTGCGTCATAGTACAACGCAAAGTGCTTTGAGTTCAATTCAAATGATTGGTGCCAAAACACAAGTAGAATTAACGCATTTTTGTCAGAGGTGGACATTTGGCACAAATTGGTGTTAGAGAGAGCTAACAGCACCCTCATTCAGAGCTGCTAACCTTGTGCGAACAAAAAAAAGGAACCATGGTGGCAAAAAGAGGAATTCATTAAAGCGAAACTTACAACCACGCCCAAGATACTTCCAATGAAGAAATGTCAATTCCATGTGCATTTTTTTTCCATATTAGGACCTACAGTGTATTTACAAGTAGGAATTTTGTTGTTGTTATTTTGGTATTATCGGCATTTCATTCTTTTTGAGAATACTTTTCCTTCAAGAATGTTTTAACCTTAGTTTTCTTTTTACTTTGTGATCAAAATAACATTTTAGGGCAGTTGTTTGACGTGCAGGATGTAAATTTTTTTTTTTAAATATCACAATTAATTTAAAAACATTATGTGAAGAAAAAAAAACGTAATTTGGATGAAAAAACGAGCCTAAATTATTCAGGGAGATTTTCTTTTCTTTGTCCGTGAGACTGAATTATTAAAAATACTCAATTATGAGAGGAATGGGAAAAAATTGTATTTTTGGAAGTGAAAAGTGTAAAGTGAAGATGATTGCATTGAAGATTGTATTTTTATGTCATGGCAGCTGTGCACGGGGAGGTAGCAGCTGTGGGTATCCCATCAGGTTGGCCTAGAGTATGACTACACATCTAGTGAGATCCAAGAGCGATAACACAACCAGAAAAAAATACTACAGAGCCTTCAAAAGATGTGAGAGCTTCATTCGTCCGGAGAATTG